GGGTGGAGTTACCCTGTGGGGTGGAGTTACCCTGTGGGGTGGAGGTACCCTATGAGGTGGAGTTACCCTGTGAGAAAGCAGAGACCTCTGGGCAGAGAATGTAGGATGTTTCCCTCCATGATGAGGATCTTGAGCTCCACCAGAGCCTGAATGTTCTCTGCCAGGTTCTCCAGATGATTACAGGACAGATCCAGAAACACCTTTAGAAACACAGATGAACAGTGGATCAGGTGTTCGTCATCATTGTGGTTTGGAGCTTGGTTGTGAGTGATTGGGACCTACCAGGGCCTTCATGCTGTAGACACAGCCTGGAACATGAGCTATTAGGTTGTGACTGAGGTTGAGCTTCCTGAGTCTGCTCAGGTTGGAGAGAGAAGATGGCAGCGATGAAATGTGGTTGTTGGCTAGACTCAGAACCTGAAACATTGGAGGAGAACAGACCCAGAGACAGAACCAGTGCATGAAATGTTACCATGGTAGACTGGATCTTCCTCATTGGTTGATAAAGGCATGCGTCTTATGGCGGCCAGCTACAGCTGATTAATGACCTCCTCGCCTGGGTGGATGGGCTCAGGCCCGTTTCTTCCTTTTCCTTTATTTATTTATTTATTTAAACAGCGTCCTGTCTACCAATGTGGCAATAATAATAATTGTCTTGATGCCAAAAAGAGACCAACAGATTTTACTTTAAAGTGGAGCAGTATGGCTATCGCCATAGTGTTCTGCTTGATTTATGCATATAAATAGCTTTATTATCATTTAGGCAGGGAGTTTTACAGATTATATGGACACTGCAATGTAAGTAGAACAGAAAAGGAAAAAAGGAAAAAAGGAGAAAAGATGAAAGAAAGAGAAGATAAAAGAGGAGAGGCCTGTAATGAAAGGGGAGTGCTAGCCTAATGGTTCGGGCATAGAGCTTGTCTCCCAGAGGTTCTGAGTTCAAGCCCCACTCCCACAGACTGCCACTCTGCAGCTGTGTTCTAATTCATGGCCTGCATCTTCCAAGGATCCGGACTACCTGGACAGGATCCTTTCAGGTCCTTGAAAATAAGGAGACCGGAAGAGTTTTGGCTGTAAATTCAAACAGGTCCAGCCTTTAGCTGCTTTTACCGATGCACGCTCTGTCACTTAGCAACCGTAACAGTTGACACACAAAGCAGGAAAAGAATGAAAACTGAACTTTTTAAAACAGTTTCTTTTTTATTTGTTTCTTTTTTATTGTAAAGTGAACAAAGACTGATGAGAATCCAGAGTGGAATAAAGGTTCCAACCATCGGGAGCAGGAACATACTGTAGTAGCTTCATCTGGTCTGTTCCTGTTTGGCTGTGACTCCATCCAGCTGTGCTGCTGCCATCAACACCTTTGTTTCTAGATGTTGGAGCTTGGCCTGTTTTCCAGTGTTCAGTCCTGTTTCTGTCTTAGACATATCAATGGGCTCAGCTTCCTTTTTCTTCAGTAGTTTAATGTCTTCCATTAAAGGATCATTGCATAGAATAACTGCTGTTACAGATAATTATGTGTTCAGTATTTTTTTTATTTAAGCTCAGGTTGTTTTGGATTATTTTATATCTGTGATCTGTTATCCCTAAGACACAGATTTACCCCATTTCATTAAACAGCTTAATGATTAATAATTTATTTTAATCATATATTGAATTATAAACATTTTCTGGTAAATTAAGTTAATAATTGTTCATTGATAACCTGAATTGTTGATTCTAATCATTAAAGGGTTTCCTTTGATTTCACCTTTATTACAATAATGTTATTAATAATTTCTATTTGTGTTTAGTAATAATATTCATAATTAATTAAGTGTATAGATCAGAGCTTCTATGTTCCTTTTCTATGTCCGCTTCTGTCTTCTTGAACCCAGGAGGCCTCAGCAAGATGGCCGCTCACACCTGGTTCTGGTTTTCCTTACATAGAAACTTATAACCTTTAATCTGAATGGATGATCTGCTTGATCTTGATCTATAAAGTGACCTGAGACGATGGATGATAATTGGATCATAAATCAATAAAATGAATTGACCTGAGAGCAATGATTCCTAAAACTGTCGGAGTCGGTTTGGCTAAAAATCTGTCAATCAAAGCAAAATGTTTCAGAGAAGGAACAGTACCTCCAGCTGTGTGCAGGATCCCAGCTCTTCAGGAACCTCAGTCAGTCGGTTCCTGTAGATGAACAGAACCCGGAGTCTCTTCAGTTGTCCTATTTCTGCTGGCAGGTTGCTGAGCTGCAGACAGCAGCAACACACAGGTTCACCAGGCTGAACGCCATCAGAACATCTCTGTTTAAAGGCCTGAGCGGTCCACGGCCATCAGAACATCTCTGTTTAAAGGCCTGAGC